CCTCTTAATGAAGGCACAAAAGTGCATTCAACTGTGGGGCAACACAATAGACGACGAGAGAGACTGAAGATTCCCATGCCTCAGGGCCAAAACGGGTTGAAGGAAACTTTTTGAAGTTGCCACAAAATGGCGTTAACTTTTTAGTAAGTCACTCGCTCGTCTTGGTCATTTCTTCTCCACTGAAACGGGGTGAAAATTGCTTCAATGAAGTTCGCTTGTCGTCGCCCTTTCTCTCTCCCCCTCTGGCTGTCTCTTTCTTGCACACAGAAAGGGTTCTCCAACCCGCTTGACCTCATCTTGATTTGGGTCTGAAGTTGGGAGCTTCGCTGCTGAAGTTGGGCGACATTTAGCGCGTAATTGAGACAATTAAATTCGCTTTGACAGTGCCACAAAAAGAGGGGGGAAGGAGTGAGGGAAGGAGTGAGGGAAAATACCCAAGGAAAAGCCATAGAGAATCGAGGCAAATCATCAGCCGAAAAACCCCAAAAATAAATAAAGTAAAAGTATGAGCAAAAGCGAAAGTAGGAAGGGAATTTCCCAGTACCCCAAACTGTTGCCTCTTTTCTCTCAGTGTAGACTCTCGAGTGTAGAGTGTAGAGAGAGACAGAGAGAAGGGTTTGACAGCGGCCGCACCTTTCAATTGTAATTAAATGTTGCATCTTGTGGGGCTTCGCACCTTTGGAATTTCATTTCTCGTTCTGCTCTTTAATCCTGAAGTCCTTTGGCTTGCAGCCTGTTTAATATGCATTGCATTTGCTCCCTTCAGAGTTGGCTGAGGCTGAGCCTTCGATTCGCTTTTTGCGTTGCTGCCAAAGTGCATTGCATAAGGCGACAGGCAACGAAAAGCCGATGACTCGATGATTTTATTATGCGGCAAGTGATATTCAAAGCACAAACACACACAGGACACAGGACACAGAACACAGGACTCCATCCTTCGTAATTGGAGCGTAATGTGTTAAGAGTTGACAGGCGCCACGTGGCATTGCTTTTAATTTGTTTGCTCTCCAGTCTCCACCAGTATCTCTGGGAGTCCCTGTGCAGCCTTCCCATCTGTTGCATATTTCATGGCTTGGCCTCCGCTTCTCTTCTCTCTTCTCTTCTCTCCTCTCTGTTAGATGTGTAGTTTACAAGTTTTGCATGCAAATGAGACACCATTCGACACCATTCGGGGAGCAAGCATCAATCAAAGTTTCATGGGTGAGACGCCTCTCCCAGCTGCAAGGGATAAGGCTTTGCCTGTGTCTTCAATTAGTGCAAAATAATGATTTGCCTGCAAGAAATTCAACCTAAAATCAATTCACTTTCAGCATATTTGAGGGCTTTCCCACTGCCATTTCCCATTTCCCACACACACATGTTAGCAGCTTCTCGGGACTCTTCGATGGTGGTCCATTAGCTGAATTTGAATAGTTTTTCACTCTTAGTTTTCCCCCATTTGGGTTTTTGGTGCTGCTGTTGTTGCCCCAAGTGGCAGCCGCTTGAACAAATGTTCGTTTACGCTGCCTGCCTGCCACCAACGCTGGTTACAGCCAGTGGGAAGTTTTTTCCCATGTAATTCCCCTGCCTGAGCCTTGTCAACATTTTAGGGATTTTTCCCTTCAACCTTCCTTTTTTCAACCATTTTTACTTTCTTTCGGAAGGTTCTTCGGTTTTTATGTTTAGCAGAGTGTTGAGTAGATCAATGCAATGATTGATGATTTCTATTTAATTTATTTATCGTAGAAACTCTTCTTTGGAAGAGCATCCACGAGTTTCGGCCCCCAACTCGCATCCATTTGAGCCTTCAAACAGACCGCGAGAGGTATTGGACCATGTTGAAGCCGCTTTAGTTAAAATTCCTAACTAAATATTTAGTTTTTCTATTGGGCAAGCGAATCCATCAGGTATCCATCCGATCCACTGATGTGGCACTGGGCCACCCATTGCTGTGCCGTGGGGCGGCCATTGTGGGGAAGTTTTTCAATTTCTACTAATCCGCGGCTTGCGTATACCTCGCCAGCAAAAAAAGAGATGAACAAATGCAGTGGGTAAGGGGGGGGAGGCCACACCGTACGTAATAGAGGATAAGAGATACAAACAAAAAGGAAGTGGATCAATTTTAGCTCTGGTTTTTGGTTTCTCTCTTTGTTTACCGAATGAAGGGAAGCCATGAAGAGAGATATTTTCTCCACAAGTACAGCATTATTCTGGGTGTACATAAATCTTTGGTTCTGCTATCTCCAGGGTACTCCCAGCTTCGTTTCCTTCCAGACTCAACTTCTTTTTCTTTTATTTTTCAACTGTGGACTAATATTTTTATTGGCAAAATGGATTTGTGGGCAGCTTAACTTGGTTTATGGCTCTTCATTGAATACCGTTTTCTCTTCATCTCTTTCCTACTCTCTTATTCGTTCTCGCTCTCTCTTTGCCGCTTTCTTTTGTGCAGTTTTCATTTTCATAATTATTATTTCGTTTTGTGGGGGGGAGTCTCTCGATTTCAATTTTGATATTTTAAGCCGCTTTAGGAGCTGTATGCTGTGTGGCTCTTGTGCCCCGAAATGTGTGATAAGAGGCACTTTAATTGCTGTATGATGATGCAGCAACAATTCCGAAGTTCGTGGCTCGTTCGGTCCAGCGTGACCCAATGCGTGGCACAGTTCTGATCGCTTTACAGTGTTACAGTGTTGTGCCCCGTCATCTTGCTTGCATCCAGCGGCGTAGCACTTGACATTGACTGCGTCTCTTACATCGCTGACATTGAAACCGGCCGCGGATGGCCCCCAAAAAGTGTTTCAGAAATAAATACCCAACAGGCAGCGAGAAAAAAAGTGTAAATCTGAGAGTATTTGTAGAATGGCGGAAGGAGGAATGTTTGTGGGTAATCTTTAAAGAAAATATTGACAGATTCTGCGCGCAATCAAATAGTGCGAAGCAAATGGGCAAACAATCCGCATTGGACCCCATTCCCCTTCCCTTAGTGTCGATCTTTAACGATCAATGACCATTGCCCATGGGCTGAGCCACGAGCCCAGGCAACTCGAACCAGCGAACCAATCGAACCATCGAACCACCCCGAACAAGTTTGAAGAAGTTGCAGCCCAAAAATAATGAGTGCTAATGCGGCGTTCGCTTCGAACTTGATTTGTTGCTAATTTTTTGTATAAATAGTTAAGCGATTTCAACAGCAGACAACAAATCGAGCAGAGCTACAGACAACCGCAAAGCCCAACGCCCAACGCCCAAACAGATTGAGCAGGTCAGAACCAGACACAAAAGAAATAATCAACATGGTGAGTAAACACAACCTAGAAGGGGAAATGGTTGCAGTTTGAACCTCTTGTGGATTGCTTGCAGCAAGGAGTTCGATTCGGTGTGGCTTCTGCGCTGCTGCTGCTGCTGCTGGCTGTGGGCGTCTCCTGTCGCTCGGTGGTGCGGCGTGATGTCTCCCATCTGCCGCTGGAGTACCTGCCGCCTGTGGTGCTGCCGCCAGTGCCCAGTCGGGACTACCTGCCGCCGGTGGAGGAGCATGCAGCGAGCCTGAACCATGTCCTGCAGCCACCGCGTGACTATCTGCCGCCCGTGAACAACGAATACCTGCCCCCTGTGGAGGAGGAGCTGCAGGAAGAGCCCGTGGCCACAACGGAGGTGGAGACTGCTGTGGAGACCACCGCTGCCCCCACCACAGAGGCCGTGACTGAAGCTCAAACCGAAGCGGCACCCGAACCAGAGGCAGAGATCGTCACGGAGCCCGTGGAGTTGAAGGCCCTGGAACACATCGAAGAGGAGCTGCCCAAGGAGCAGGTGGAGTCTGCCGTGCTCTTGGATGATGGCTACCACTACCGCAAGCCCCAGGCGGTGCCCAATCTGCTGCCCGTGCAGGAGTATCTGCCTCCCCTCGACGACAATGCGGTGGTCGAAGAGATTCCCGAGCACGAGGAGGACTCCTCCGCCCTGCTGGACGATGGCTATCACTATCGCACGATTAGGCGTCTGCGTTTCTAGTCCTTCCCAGCACCCATTCCTCGCATCTTTCGTATCTCTGCTCCCCGAATTTCTGTTTCTGTTGTTTAATTGTATACAAAATAAAATATATTCTCCATAAATGTACACGTCCGTCCAACCAGCTGCTGTCCCTCCTTTGAGAGCGAACTAATCGATGCCTCGAAGAACATTTCATTTGTATGGATGACAGCAAATGAGAAGAATGTTTTCACAGGAGACAGGGAGACAGGGAGACAGGGAGACAGGCAGACAGACATTGTCGCTGTAGCTGTCCTGCCGGGTGCCTCTGCCCCACCATTAACCTTCTCCGCAATTGATTTGTTGTCGGTTGTGGCTGTGGCTTGGGGCTCTTGCTGTTTTCTTTACGTGTTGCCTCTTGGCATACATTTTCATTAACCAATCTCGGAGAAGTTTTCCTTCTCCTTCGTTGTCCCATCCGCTGAGCCAAGTTCCATTCAATCATTCAGCCATTTCCAATTGGCCGTATAAATATTTGAAAAGTTTTAAATGTTATTTCCACTCGATGTTGCTGTGTGCTGTTTGTTTAGAGCCTAAATGTAAATGGGATTTTTTTATGGTCGTTGTTTTTGTTGCTGAATTGCCTATGAATAATTCAACAATCACCGCAAGGCAGAGAGTGAGCGAAAGTTACCCGAAAGCAACAAGTGGCTCCTGCCTGCCCGCCTGCATTTATTCTACGACGATGATTTCCCTCCGGGAGGCAACGCACACCAGAAATCAAATAAAAATGTTAAGCCAAGAACCCCGTGCGGTGCATTGCACTCTCCAGACGTGTTTTCGGGTATTCCTCGGTCCATAAACGCTAACCACAAATCGTTTCCAAAACAAACACCTGTAAACAATTGGACCTTCGTCCAAAATGGCACGCAACTGGCGGGAAAAGCTCGTGGAAAAGCCTGTCGGAGCTTTTCCCGTTCAACATTTGACGAGGAAAATCGTATATAAGCCGAGTGCCGAGGAAAACTCTTGTCAGTTGCGGGTCGAACATTGCCGAAAGCGAAACAAACCGAACAAAACCGAAAGAACTCTCAGCGGAAAATGTTGCACTACGCGTAGGCGGCGGCGGCGGCGGGTGCCACAGGAGCAACAGTGGATAATCGGACGGGGACTCCCCAGAGAACTCATCCATGGATATGCACAAAGCCCAGTGAGAGAAAAAACCCAAACCCAAGTGAAAGTGTTTGCCTAAGGTGAGAGCATCCAGCAGTGGAAAATGTGATCGCGAAATTTGCTGCCGAGATCTTAAAAGAATTTAAGTGAATTAAGCTATGAACAAAATGCTGAAAGAAAACCCCAAATAGGACTGAGGCTTCATCAAACTACAAACAAATGTTGTAGGAACAGAAAAATGATACACAAAAATGCAAAGAAGAGACCTTTAGTGTTCTCCCTCGCTAAACAGCCCATAAATCGCGAGAAAATAAATCAAAATTAGCATGGAACATTCGGCAGAAAACATGCCAAAAAACACTCCAAAGATAGAGATAAAGTAAAGTCTTGTGCAAGCCAACGGAGGGGCAACAGCAACTCGAATAAATCAAAATTAAACATGCATTAAAAGCGCATTAAAATTGGCCAAGAAAACTGAAGCCCCGACTTGTGGCAGAGGGGGGGGGGGGGGGAGGAAAACACCAAACGGAAAGGTTTGCGCACCGCCAGGGGGGACCCTGCGCCGCTTATAAAACCAATAAAAACCAAATAACTTCCCCCA